CTAGGCACTTATTTAATATTAAGTTCGTGACTAAAATGGGCCATACATAAAATACTATAATATATTATTGTTTAATTTAACTGTTTAAATAAGAACTTGCTTAAGAGCTTTTAAAAGGAAAAGTAAAAAATACACACACTTTTAAAAACCATTGAAACATTTATTTTATATATACATTTATATTTATAGATACATTATATTAAATAGCAAAATATATACTAATATAATTAACAAAATATCAAATACTAATAATTTTTTTAACAGAAAATGTAAAGTATCACTAAATCACCAAATATCATCAACCAAAATTTAAAGAGAGTATTCAGCCAACATTATATCGGTAAGTTTTTAGTTCTAAAATTTTTAAAATATAAACTTTTAACACACAGTCCCAGTTAAAAAAATGCAAGACAAATTAAACAAATAATAATTTAGTTGAAACGGGTTGGGACATAATTTTTAACTTGTGACGATGCCGTCGTAGATTTTATAGTTATGTATGTATTAAGTTCGGTCTTTCCTCCTCGTAAAATTGTTAAAACATAAATTTTATATTTAGTTTTTAGATAGGCAAAATTAATCAAATTTTTAAATTAATATTACTTCAACCAAAATGTTAATGATAATGTGGTATAAAGTGAGATATAATAATTTTATATTAATTAAAGTTTAGTTTATTTGCTGATTTTTTCAAGTCCTTCGTTGTATGAAATTGAAGCAATAAAATACACATATGTGTGTGCCATTTGGGTTCCATTAATATGTATGCGTTGCAGTAAAAGTGGATTGCAGTCAAATATTAAAAATTGGCATGCCATCTTTATCACCAAATAAACTAATTGTTTTAAATTTACAGACGCTAAAAATTAAACTAACAATAGATTAATATAAAAAACAGCATAAAAGATAAAGTCCCTAAACACAATGTTGTTGCTATTTGTAGTGCAAAGTATTTAATTTAAATATACAGATTACAATTGGTACTTTTTTTAAGTCAAAGATAGCTTAAGTCTATATCACAAACCCTCCTAATATAACAAAGCCTAAATAACCCTTTGGGACCGTCCATAAATCTTGTGACGCTGGAGGGGAGTTTTAAGGACCGTCACGATTTGTCACGCTCCAGGAAGAAATGTTTATTAAAATGTCACGTGACAAAATAAATGAAATGAAATTGATTGTTCCACTTTTAGTCAGATTATTACAAACAAGATTTTTAGAGGGTAGGGGAGTTCTATAGTTCGTCGCATGACCCTTCGTTACATTCTGTCACGAGAAAGGGGGGGTCAATTTGGACCATTTTAAGCATCACAAAATTTATGGAGGGCCCCTTTTTTGTATTTGTCAATTGTTTGATAATTACACTATGATAGTTTTAGAAACTTTTTTTCCTAACATTGAGTACTCCACATTAGTTTAACTAATTTTGGGCCGCTGATTTCAAAAATGTCATTTGTTTTTCTCTAGGACTTAAAATAATTTCGTAATAAAATGCTCTGCTCAATCACTTAAAAATGTAAGTATTTTTGTTAGTATTTTAATTATTTTTTAAATTATTTTATTATTTAAATTTAGTAATTGGTATACGACATATAGATCATATTTATCTTAACAATATGACATTTTAAATACTAAAACTAAAATTTTAATGTATTTTATGTAAAAAAACATCCATTATTTGACATTTTTGTCGTTTATTTTAATTATTGAATTGAAAGGGCAACAAAGTAAACAAGTTTCGGTATTTTTTATCCAAATTAAGCCTACAAAATTTAACGCATTGCATAATATTGCTTTTTTCTTCTTTAAATTTATTAAATCGTATCAAATATCGAATTGAATTTTGGTATTATTGTGCCTTATCCTCATCATCGTCGTACATATTTTGCTGCAAATTCCAGCAAATGTCTCCTAGCAATGAATCCAACTTCTTTCCGCTATACCCATAGATATCTACCAATGCTCTAGATTTGCATTTACTTGGTGAAATCGTTCTCCATGTTCATCGGTTCGGCAAATTTATCAGGATGAAAAAAAAAAGTATTTTAAATGACTTATTAACGCTAATTTTTTACAAAACGGAGATCATTTTTGCATGGGCGTAAAGGTACCGCAACAAAAACAAAACAAATTTCCTACGACGACATAAAGGTTCATCTCCTTTCTCTTTCTCTGCCACTTCCATTTCCGGCTCTTTTTTCATTTTTGGTTCTTAAAATTACTTTCAAGTAAAAATCCAATTTAAATTTTAAATGTCAAAAATTAATAGATTCACTTTAATGTGCTTAAACGATAAAGTAGGTAAAGGCGCCTTTATACGTACTTCAATTCGATATTAAATTTTGATAAGACCTAATACATAAGATTAGAGATTGAATTTTTGGGTACTTTAGGCATGATGTGAATATAAAATAATAGTTGAAGAGTAATGTTTATACCTAAACCCATTTACTTTGTTGCCTTTTCAATTTAATTAGTAATTAAAAAAACGACACAAAAATTTCAAAAAATGATACTTTAATACTACTATAAATACTATACGGCTAGAATGGATCAAAAAAAAATTTCTATTTGATGACTTTGTATGGAGTCCCTGGATATTTTTGATAAAAAAATATACTAAACATCCAAAAAAATAATTTAATAAATAATCAAAATATTAACGAAAAACTTACATTTTGAGACAATTGGGCAGAGCATTTTATCCTAGACGTCCTAGAGCAAAACGAGTGGCATTTTTGAAATCAGCATCCCAAAATTAGGTATTATAGGTGGGCGTACTCAATGTTAGTAATTACAGTGTTATAATTAATAATTGTTTTAAAGCGACCCTGACAAATTTACTTTGTAAAAATAATAACAATGTGGCAATTAGCAGTCCTTTTATAATATTTTAAGTAGTTAAGATAAGTCTAAATAACCTTTTCATGAAAACTGCACACTTGACACAAATTAAAATCAGGATCACACGCCCGAAGACTCTGGTCAACTGTAACTGTTAAAATTGGACCTAAACATGTCACCATTTAAATAAAAATCAAAGTCATTAAACACAAACGCCTATTATTTAGTTACCTTTTAAACAATTTTTACCAATGTATTACATGTATACACTTGTACTGTTACGTTTGAAAACCAAAATGACAGCTGGCATGGTCACTTTTTAAGTAAATAGCTTCTAAATTACTAATACGCTTAAGAAGCATCGCGCCATCAAGAGAGGAAGGCAGAAGTCTTACTCGACAAATTTTATTCGTAAAGTTTCAATTGCACTGGCAATCGCGTTGTTGTATATGGTTATATAGTTACGTTAGTGTGTGTATTTTATCTAAGTGATCATGGTAAATTATTGTGTTTTTAATTGTAAATGTAATTGAAGAACAAAATCGTTGCAATTTTTGTTTTGACAAAGGATCCAATTACTTGTTAATATAATTTATATTAAAGTTTTGACATTTTTATAAAATTTAATAAAAAATAATTGTTGTACAAAGATGACCTTAAAATCAAACATTTTTATATCTGAGTCCTCTCTAAAAAACGCCAAAAACTGAATTTTTTAAATAATTAACATATTCTCAAAAACACACGTTTGTAACAATTAAGTTTGACAGCTAATTATTAAAAGTTGTAGTTTTGTTACGATGCCACCTGGTGGCGCTACTAGCGATGCTTCTTTAGCGTATATACAGGGTGAGTTTTAAGTTGACGCGTTCCTTTTAACAGTGTGTAGAAATCAGCTAGACAAATAAATATTTTAAGTAACTTTTTTATCAAAAGCATTTGCATTTTGACGACACTCAATAAATTAGTAACATTTCCACTAATTCATTATTGCTATAATTATGAACCATTTTTAAAAATAATTGAGGCACAAAAAAACTGACATTTTTCATTGCTAAATGTCATTTTGATTTAAATGGTTATGTTTGTTGTCATAGATGACATTTTGCATTGTTTATTTTGTTATTTTTATTTTTATTGTTATGTTTTTTGTTAACAATAGCCAGGACCGGCTCAAAATTTAATTAAACTTGGAAGGCCTATAACTTTCTTATTTTTGAGTTTTGATAAAAAAGTTACTTAAAATATTTATTTGTTTATCTGATTTCTACACGCTGTTAAAAGGAACGCGTCAACTTAAAACTTACCCTGTACCTAGAACATGCTTGGGTCCCGTGTCCAGACTCTCTTCTTATAGGGACTCTACACACCAGGTCCTGTAATATCCCACTTTATTAAGACTTTCCCTACAAAGTTTATAGTCTTAAATTTAGACGATATATTTTTATATTAATAAATCCTTTTAAAATGGTTTGTAACAAATTTCGCTCAGCCCATACGTTCTTTTTCGTCCTTTAACACATCCATTCCACTTTAAAAATTTCTTTAAGGTTATGTATTAATAATAATAAGTATATTTTAAAATCCTGTACATACCGATTGCCGTATTTTTTAATTTCAAGCTCTTGGTAAAAAACGAAGCGAAGTTTTTTTTGGTTACTGAAAAACACACCAAGCAAATTAAATGAAATTTTATATCCACAAAGAATCCATTAAGCATAGATGAAGTGGGTCCTAAATACTGTGCAATAAATTTTCTTGGATGGTATAAAATTCCTATTTTAACTTGTTTGTGCCTTTTTCCAAAATCTATCTATAAACATTTATTTATCCATATTTACATTACACTACTTTTGTTGCGAAGTTATTATGACTAAGCTCTAGTTTATTAATTTTTTTTTGTCTAGAGGCTGCTCTACAGTAAAATCAGTAAATTTGTGAGACCGTGTTACACATTTATTGGAGATCCTATAGACCATGTTAGTTTAAAATTTTCAGATCTATTTTCAAAGGTCCATAGTTAAAAGTTTCTTTATGGAGTGTTTTATTCAATATATTGAATAAAACACTCCATAAGACTCATTTAACAAGGAACCTTTGCTTTTACAAAACGGACATGTATTTTTAAAACTGATAAATAAAAGGTCTAGGTATTTTAAAAATCAATTAAACAATTTTTCATTTATTCTCGTAGTTTATGCCAGTCAGCGATTTGCCTTCTGGGCGAATTGCAAACTTCATTCCAATGATGTAGTGCTGAGCCGTTGCATTTAGGGCCGCCCAACTCTAATCTTCCAATTACCTTTAAAAAATACAAAGGTTTAATTTTTTTGTTGCTTGCAAAAATAAATATTTACAATTATTAAAATTAATCAAAATTCAAATCAAATTAGGGAAAAAATTATATTTTAATGGGTGATTCTACATAAGTTGGACAACTTGATGATCATTAGTCAATAGAGTACGTATTTTAATATTTTTTTGTAAATATTTTAGTATATTACAAAAGATCCAGGTTTTTTTAACTTGTCCACCCAATTTAAATGTATTTTTCAAAAGCACGTTTGTGGAAAAACATAATAAATATTCAAAACATCAGTACCTTGACGTGTCACAACTCCTGAATCAAATATTTGAGTGATTTTATTTTAAAATATATTCATATTATCTTAAATTTTTCAATTTCACTACAAACTATAAAACATTAAATGTATTTTTCATATTTTATCATAGATTCGAATAATAGCAATTTTTAAAAAAGTGATAATCTTTGTACTCACTTTTACCCGTCAGTTCCGTGTATAATGTTAAAATTCCTGCGAAATATTGAAGTTTAAACTTCAAGTCCTCGTTTTAACTCAAGTGTTGGTAAAAAAAGCAAGCGGCGAAGTTGTAGTGAATGCACGTATGGTTCCAGTCAAAATTCCAGTACTGTGGTATACTTATAAGTAGTTATTTTCTTATACGTATATATATTTCATTGTAATTTATATAAGGCTATATGTAATTTGTTGATAAGTAGCATCCACTAATAAAAAATATCAGTAAAATACTTAATTCCGAATTATAATCTCAAATTTTTATCCCATTCATCAGTACCGTGTCGTCAGTTCCATGTTTCGGTTATCTTTTTTACGCAAACTTCAATTTAAATTTTGCTTGCGCAGAAATTGTTTATTTAATTTCATTATAAACTCATATAAATTTGGTGTGGGTCCCATATCTAATAATTTAGATATCGGTATACCCAAAATCCACCAGCCACTGATAGGTGGTATCATTTAATTTTAAGATATTTAATGTACAATATGCTCTAAGTTGCAATAAATCTTATATTTTCCAATAAATTATGTATTTAATTAGTACCCTGGTATACTCGTCACTTCCCTAGCATTTAAATTTAGAAAACACAGATATTTCAGAAACTGTTTGAAAAAGTGACTGGCCCGGTCTGGAACAGTATATTTATTATATTATCTATGTTCTCATAACAAAATACTGTTTAATTTTTTTCGAAAACTATATAAAGAAAATGAGGTCAAAAGTTGCCCAACTTTTGTAGAATCACCCATATTTTAATATTAAATAATTTAGTTTGGTAAAAAATAAGAAACCACTTTTTTAATTATTAAAGATATTAAAAAAATTTGCAAAACTGCAAATTTAAAGAAATTAATTTTATTAAAAAAATATTTTTTATTAGAAAATCCGAAGAGGAAATAATGCACAACTGATAAATAAATGGTATTAGGGTCAATGCAGTAAAAATAAAACGTTGGATTTTAATTAACATTTGACTACATTATTACAAAAACTGAAATTAAAAAGTAAATAGGTCATATATTCGCGTTTCTTAACCCCAGTAGCACAAATATATCTTTCGTCAGATTTTTTTCTAGCATGGTCCAATATTGAATCCCAACATTAGCCCGAAGTTGTTTGACATTATATAACCGATATTGGAAATCCGCATTGACCCGAAGTTGTTTTACATTATATTCTAGGAAAGTTGAGGGAGAAATTGAAAGAAAAAAAAGATATCCACCTAGTACCTATGGGTACACTATTAGAGATGCGACTTGAAAAAAAACGGTTCGTTTTTTTTGTTTTTTTTCAGGTTTTTTTTCATTGTTTTTTTTCAAATGGTTTTTTTTTCACATTTTAGGTTTTTTTTTCAAAATAAGTCCCATTTGCCCAATTTTTTATGTTTTCGTGGACTAAAATTAGCCTCTAAATGACAATTAGTAAATGTAAATACAGTCTCGCGCTATGCACGCGCCACAACCACCGATTTGACCAATAAGGGCCGCGCTTGTTTTGATTTGGTCCTAAAAAAAGTAACTACATACATATAATATATTTGATTCAGCGGTTGATTTTTCAAAAGCAACCAAAAGCACTTTTTTCATGATTTTTCAAATTCTTGTAGAGTATGGAATTTTTTTTTTCAAAAAACAATAGCAAATTCTTGTAGAACATTTGGACCAAAAAAGAAAACAAAAAAAATCGATTTTTTTATTACGTTATTCGTTAGTATTGACCGTTGCACGTCTAAAAATCTCAAAACTATAAACTTCAAGCTTCAAATTGCTTTTTTTACGGCTCCAATACGACCATTTTTAACAAAGAGACAGTTATCCGAAAAATCGCAAAAAAAAAAATTGTATCGTTTAATTTTTTTTTTAGTGTAGAAATTTTACATTGCTATTGGTTTCTAATGTGGAAACTACCAAATAATAAGAAATCAGATTTTTTAGTCTTTGTCAAAATTTTCAATTTTAAAGAATTTAAAATATTCTACATATTACTCAAAATTTCATTTTGAAAAAAAAACAAAAAAAACGGTTTTTTTCTAGGTTTTTTTTCATGTTTTTTTTCACATCTGAAAAAACACCGTTTTTTTACATCTGTGTAACACTATAGTATACTATGTAGTAGGATTTCTAAAATGATATGTCACGATCGTGTCGACAAACGTTTGTTTTCAGGAAATGTTTATAGTAGGTACTTAGGGGCGGGTGACAATGCCCACCCAAATGATAAGGTGGAGAGGGGGGTTACTTGATATAAAATGTACCCTCCAAATTCTTTGAAATAATCTAACAATAAGACAAGTCGTGTAACGTGTATGTTATTCTTAATTACGATGAAATGCTAAAATCGTTTGTATCGTGTGCTAAAATGATCAGCTTGAGCTTTATTAACGTTATAACGAATTTTAATCTAATAGGGTAAGAAATCGCATATTAGCTTTGTTATTCTTACGGTAATATGCAAGAATGGCCTTTATTATTTTCACCCATTTGGTGCTAAACAATAAGGATGGTAGTCGGTTGCGCCACCCCCCAACTTAAAACCGTTCCTGCGGCAATAGTATAAACATATCCTGGAAACAAACGTATTATATGCACAAGACATGTCGTTACATATCACTTTTAGAAATCCGAAAGCATCGTTGACTATAGTTAATGATATATTGGCTTAAAATATATGCGAATATAGTACCAACCTTGGATAAACATTGGCAATGATATATTAAATTATCATTTTATGCCAATATAGGGCTAACATCGGCTAAATAAATCCAATATTGGCCCCAGATAAAGTATTGGGCATAGACGCGCCCCATAGAGGATCAATATTTTGTGCTACTGGGGTATATACTATTCTTGGTAATTAAGTATTGTAGAAACTTTAAATTTCAGATTTGTGCTTTTGAATCATACACAAAATTTAAGGAAAATCTAATATCTTTCTGTGTGGTGAACTTTTTCCATTATTGTGTTTAATTTAACGTGAAATAACCCAAGGGGTAGTCTACAATGATAAAATTTACTAACCTCATTTTTGGTGACTCTATCCCAATCTAGCAGCAAGAACTCGAGGCTGACTTGATCTAAACCTTCACCACCCGATGGAATATCAAAGACAAAGCTTTCGTTAAAAACTGGACTTAATGTTCTCTTCTTGACGTGGGTCTTCTTTTTGGCGATTCTTTGACCATTATACTAAAAAAAAAATTAATATATAATAACAACAACAATAAATTTGTCTTGTTTTTCTTACTTGCAAGTAAATTTTCACGTATGGATCAGCTAATCCAGTCACATCCATTTTGGGTAGGTTTCTAGCCTTCAGAACTACCACGGTAAGCCGGTTGGCTGCAGGCTGCCAACACAAGGAAGCCAAAAGTTCACCACGTCCTTGAGAGCGAATCTAAAAAAATGAAAAAGGTAATTATTTCAAAAATGTATTTTTTTACTTTTATTCTTTTTATTAACAAATTTTATTTGAATTTCAATAATACTTTTACTTTTACTCTGGATAACCCTTGTCATTTAATAAAGACTTACATTATTAAAGTAGCTGGGGTCATCTGGTTGTTGCATTTTTTATAAGCGAAAACCGGAAAATAAATAAATAAATTCGATTATCTAGACTAATAAATCAATCCACTCTTAACAAACTATCTATCTAGAACTACACACTTTCGTAAGGTTTGTTTATATTTACAAAAAAGAGAAATGTGTATAATTGATAAATATTACAATGTCATTGATCGTTTAATTAGTTTTAATATACAACGTATTTAATAGGTGTAAAACAATTTAACCATTAACAATAACAAAAGATTTTATATGCGATTTTTACAAAAAAAATTTCTTTAGATCAAGATATATTTATTCCAATTTTAGGTAAATCGATTAAATTTTTGGGTATTAACTTAGTTTATTTTAATTAGATTCTTATAAGCTTCTTAAAACCTTCCTAAAAAGCATTCTAAGATCATTTTAAGAATACGTTTTTGGAATGTTCTTAGAAGGTTTCTTATGGAGCTTCTAGGAAGCTTTTGAGAATATTTCCAAATATGTCAGATACCCATGGGTAGGAGGCGACAAATACATAATATGACAGTGAAATGTATTTTTCGTCCCCTTAAAAAATTGTGCGACATATATATTTACCGTTTTTTTTTTTAAATATTAAATAAACAATTTGACCCCTAAACCATAAGTTGTATGACATTATTTCATAAAAAGTAAAATTGGAAAATTTTGTGGGATAAGTCAGATTAGATTGAAGTTGAAGATAGTTAGGATTATTATACATAAAAATGTTAATTCAGAAATAAAAAATCGGTATAAAAATTAATAAATATTTATTTTTAACATATGTTATATAAAATAAAATATGAAAAAAACAAAATATTTCCTTATAAAATAATTCATCATAAAAGAAAAAACCAAATAGTTCTTCATAAAAAAAACATTTTTCATTGTATTTAAGTTGGATAGAAGATTTTATGTAAAAGCCGGATAATTAAGATACCTATAGTAAAACTATTTTTGTTATCGAAAATTGTTTAATTTGACAAATAACTATAAAAAATATTTTGGATTTTGTTTTTTACTTAGTATTTAATACTAAGTATAGGTACCTTTATACGTAGATTATGGTATATTTTACTATTATATAGGTACCTAACTGAACTGAATATGCTTAACAGAATGTTCCAGGAATATTCCTAAATGAACTTTCTATAGCATGATCCTAAGAATATTCTCACTGGAAGGTTTAAAAAAACATTCTTAGAACATGACTAGAAGAAATATAGCATGATCCTATAGGATATTCTTATAAGAATATTCTCACTGGAAGGTTTAAAAAACATTCTTAGAACATGACTAGAAGAAATATAGCATGATCCTAAGAATATTCCCACTGGAAGGTTTAAAAAACATTCTTAGAATAAACTGTGCTATCAGGGACATACCTTAAATTAATGGAATTTTCTTTAAAAAAATATTTATAAATTTTGACACATACGTCAGATTTTATGAATTGTCAAATAGTTTCCTTTAATTCAAGAAATAATCTAGACGTATATCTATGACTCAACCTATAAATTTAATCTGTCAAACTATGCTCAGTAAGTTTTTTATTTGATTTTTCTTTTTGGAAAATAGTTTCATGCAAAATAATTAAAAATAAAACCCCTCGACCGCTACGCGGTCTCGTGATTTTATTAAATTATTTTGCATTCAACATTTTCCAACAAAAACCAAACAAAAAACTACTGAGCCTAGTTTCCCCAGTAGCACAAAATATTGGTCCTATATGGGGCGCATATATGCCCAATATTTTATCTGGGACCAATATTGGATTTATTTAGCCGATGTTGGCCCTATATTGGCATAAAATGGTTATTTAATATATCTTGCCAATGTTTATCCAATGTTGGTCCTATATTGGCATATCATTTTACGCCAATATATCATTAAACATATTTATCCAAGATCGGTCCAATATTGGCATATCAGTTTAAGCCAATATATCATTAAAAATATTTATCCAAGGTTGGTCCTATATTGGCATACCATTTTACGCCAATATATCATTAAAAATATTTATTCAAGGTTGGCCCTATATTGGCGTAACATGATTATCCAATATATCATAGTCGATGTGTGTGCTATGTTGGCCCCATATTGTTTCAAATGTTTCAAAATTCGCCAATATGTAGGCAACCCATGCATACCTCTCGCCTCTGTAGCACAATAGATACTCCTATAAAGGTGGAATGCCTTAAGCTGTTAAGTTAGAATTTCTTACTAAGGCAAAATTACTGACCATACCGCTTCTGCTTGTAAGTTTTGAAGGGACACAGCTGGTCCTGTGGCCCACTCTGCCAAAAGTAAGCAGTGGGTCCCACTACTTACTTTTAGCAAAAGCTTTTTATAAAATTTAAAATTTAAGGTTAAACAAATATTGGGCCAATGCGGATTTTCAATATGGGTTATATAATGTAAAACAACTTCGGGCCAATATGGATTTCCAATATCGGTTATATAATGTCAAACAACTTCGGGCCAATGTTGGGTTTCAATATTGGACCAAGCTAGAAAAAATCTGACGAAAGATATGTTGGCCCAATATATAAAACGAATATTGGGCCAATATCTTTGTGCTACTGGGGTTAACCGATTAAATTCATAGTTTTCGTGATATAATATATGATTAAAAGACTTTGTACTTTGGGGTGGTCTAGGACCTCTTGCTTATGGCATTATACAGGGTGTTTCATAATATATACGCAGGATGTGATAGCTCATCCAAAAAGATGAAAAAAGTCGCTAATAACTTACCCTCTAAAATGCACAATTTTCGAGATATAGGGTGTTGAAATTTTAGAAAAAAATTCGTTTTTTTCGAATTTCTCCGGAGCCGTTTATCGTACAAAAAACAGCTTCGAATGAGCCCGTACTTTTTTCAGGGGCGTAGAAGTTGAGGAGAAAAACACCCGCTACCCCTTCAAAATCTCCACCAATTATGAGTAAAAAAAAATTTTTCCGACACAAAACATAGCTTATTATGAGTAGAAAATGCTTACAAAAGCTGTTTTTTGTACGATAAACGGTTCCGGAGATATTCGAAAAAAACGATTTTTTTTCTAAAATTTCAACTCCCTGTATCTCGAAAATTGTGCATTTTAGAGGGTAAGTTAATACCAACTTTTTTCATCTTTTTGGATGATCTATCACATCCTGAAGTCCTGCGCATATATTATGAAACACCCTGTATTTTGTAACCCAGGGGACCATCTTTTTTCTTTTTTAAGGGCTTATTTATAAAAATCCAACTGCCCACTTTAAATAAACAAAAACAGGTTTGTAGTTTTTGTTTTTACTTTTTCTTCTTTAATTGTAAAAGAATTTTGAAAATGACCCATATCTCAAAAACGGTAAATCGTAGCAATAATTAAAAAGTTTAAGTATTTTGAGCAAAAATTATCAAGAAAGCCATGGGTATTAAAAAAATAAACCAAGCATTAGTTCAAATGAGTTAAATATTTAAATTTGCCATAATAAAAACCCTCACATACCAATTTTGCTTAATATGACTAATAATTGCTAAATTTATGGCCAAATTTAAAAAAAAACAATCTTGGTTAGCGTAAATTATCACTTCAATTAATAATTAATAATAATATTAAATTAATAAATATTAATATAACCGAGTTTAAATCATTTCCAGGAAGGATTTACCAAGTAATGTAAGGCGCCGGTCGTGTCTGGAATAATTAGATTTGGGTCTTAATCCAATAAGTCTTATTACTGGTTTTATAGAGAATAGATTTATCTTCATGCCCTGCTAATGTAATTTTCCAATAGACGCTTTTATAGTTTAATCAGACCATATAATAGTCTATTATTTTCCTTGAATACAACCAAAATAATATTTTTCTATTTTTCTATTTTGAGATTTGTATTTACCTTAAGACTTCTAGGCTGAATCTCCCTGCACAAGGCCATTTGTTGACTTTCTATCTGAGTGACATCGACTGTGTTAAGGGCGACAAACACTTCTCCAATTATATCATCTCGACTGTACCTAATAAAACACAATAAATTTGGGTTCAGTTTTCAAAAGTATTTGTAACTGTTGTAACGACCACCCAATATTTATCAAAATCAACCACATACAATCAACAAAAAATAAAGATAACATTAAATGTTCATGTTAATGAAACCAATTTTAAAAACTTTTTATTTAAATTTTTTTTTAAATTTATCAAGCTATTTAAACAATTAATATCGAATTTTCCAAAATATATAGAGAAAATATTTAAAGATCTTATCCCTCTATGTATGGGTCTATTAAAATGGTATTTAAAAAATGAAGAAAATCTGCGGTTATCAAATAATTTGAAAACACTGAAAATATGTCGACAAATCGTTACAAGTTCTTTATACCTTGGAATTAAAAAAAAGAAAGTTTAACATGTAAACCTACACACTTATCTACATTTTCATCCAATTAGGGATTTTTTTCGCCCACTAGATATTAAGTTATCACCACCATCTTACTATGACCGCCATATTCCAATTTTGGTAAGATGTTATAAAAATCAGATTTGTTAACATGAGTTTGTAGTTTGATAATTTTATTTTGTAAAATTTTAACATAATTTTTTGTAGAAAACAAGGGTTTATAATTATTTTAACAAAGGAAAATATTTTACAGAAAGTTTTGTAAAGGTAATAATTCTGTGGGTAAATGGCATAAGGGGATAAGTCAAAAAAAGCAATTTTTCAATAGAGCCTTTAACGTATTCGCATTAATTCAGGAAATATATTTATGTGTAGCGGGTATACTCTTTTGTTAGCATATGACATGGGCTAACAAAAGGGTATACCCGCTAACCATAAATATGTTTCCTGAATTAATGCGAATACGTTTAAGGCTCTACTGAAAAATTGCTTTTTTTGACTTATCCCCTTATGCCTTTTACCCACAGAATTTTAAAGGTTACAGATTATTTTATTAATGCTTAGCAAATTATTTCCCATTTAGAATATGCATTAACAAGTTTAACACAAACGAAATTATGATTCCTCGTCCTTATATAGGTTTTGAAATCATTCACTGCGGTGAGACGAAAGTAAGTGGTGCCATCTACCGTCTTTTGGCATTTTCTTTATGTTATATGTTTAAGGCGGTAGATGGCACCACTTACTTTCGCCTCACAGCAGTGAATGATTTTAAAACCTTTATAAGGGCGAGAAATCATAATTTCGTTTGTGTTCCGCACCATACAGCAACTCGGTACTGATGTTCCAATAAAGGGAAATAGTTGTTTATCGTTGCTGGTGAGGAACACGAACGAAATTAAAGAAAAGCCGAGACGAAATAATTACATCAGTAAGTGTTGTGATAAATTATATTGTACCAAATATCTTTATAATTTGATGATTTCAGAATTCATTCATTCATTTATGTAGGTATGTGTTAATTTTTTTGTTTAGGAAGTTGACTAAAAAAGTAACATTTCTTATCAAAATTCTTTTCATTTAACTTCCGAGAGTTACAAAAATACTTTTGTTACTTGGTCTACAAAAATGTTTGTAAAAATACAAAATTACAAGAATTATGGTTAAAATATTGACACAGGATTTTGTTATTATTAAATCTACAAAATGTTTGTTATATAATTACAAAGTACTAATTCAATTAGTTAACAGATTACAGTTGGTTGTAAACTTTACATACAGTTCTGTGGACCTGTATTAACATGAAATCTAGTTAACATTCGGAACATTACAAATTATGTAATGGCGCAGTCGCTAGGATTTAACAAAAACTTACCTATCAAAGCTTAGCACCACGAAGTGTAGAGTTATATTGGGCAGCTGGTTAAACCCTAAACCGTAAAAAGTGAAATCTTCATCGTAGACTGGGTTTCTGGTTTTTCTGAGCACGCGAGTTTTAACTTTGTGTTGTTTATCCGGGAGAAGTTGCAGTTTGACGTACGGATCGCTCGAGCCTACACTCGGATCCTTGGCAGGCAGATCGCGACACCGCACCACGGAAACAATCAGAGCGTTTTTATCGTGTTTGTACCTAAAACAAACAATTTTCTTAATTGGTTTTCGTAAACTCCTCGTAAACAACAAGTTTACGATCTTATAAATATTTAACAGAATTTCATGGGTTGATGGTTAAATATTTTATAGTTTGGCTTCGAGGGAAAAAGTAGCCGTTTTACGATGGCATTATGAAAATGTACTGAGGATAAATTGCCTTACAACACTCGAGTTTGTTTGAGTTAAACCAGGTTTACAAACATACGTGCTCATGCAGGGCTTTCATGGAGTATTAAAGTAGAAAATAAATTTATTTTTCAGATTTTATGGTTCACATACAACACATTTTTAGAGGTGAATAAAAAATAAAATTAATAAGTTTAGAAATATAAATTCTTTACATTACACTATGATAGTTCGATTTACTAACATTGACTACGCCCCATAGATTGGAAACTCTCCCACCACTGCCCTCTAGAGCTACAATACCGGAACTATATCTATTTGTAAATTGCAGATCTGTACAAACCCTATTTGCAAATGTCAATGTCAATCATAATTATTGATGTCGATCATTATTAAATACATTTTTGCGCCTTAAAAGTGATAAAACGTGTTAATGGTTGCGAAATGCATTGTTGTTGGGCGCGGAAATGTAACCAATTTGTAAGTAATGAATATCCTGCCGTCCTAAGCCAAAAAGACTCATCTCGTTATTATTAAATTATTCTCTTAGAAAACAATAAAGCGCTATAATTTATAAAGTAAAAATGTGGAGTTGCGTCTTTTTGGCTAAGCACGGCAGTATCGCTCTATAGCGTAAAAATACTGTTTGGTAATTATGAATTATTTAGGATTGCTTTTTTAATGGTAATTTAGTCCAGGCCAAGCCCAGGCTACTTATGGTTGTTTAAAACCAATAGTTGGCAAGATGGATTTTTCACGGTTGGTTAGAACTTGCTAAAAGTGCACACTCAAAAGCCTTGTACAAATTCCTATATGTATAGCCTGGACTAAATTACCAAATTTTGCAATATTCTCTTAAGAATTAAGACTAATATTTTTAGGTTTGCACTCCACAAACAAAAACATATTTATGTATACGGATTATGTATTTTATATGTACATATAGATGTATGTATTTAATTTTATATTATATTATTAATACAATAAATAAATCTTATATTCATACTTGTTTTATTTAAAATACAGCAGTAAGTACAATATATAAAGGTACCCTACGAAGCATCAACATTCAAATGTCGCCAATATATGTTACAGAAATCTACTTCAATTTTTGGCATTGCTAAGGGTATTGTAGACCTAGATGGCGTTAATTTACTTTAGCCTTTTGCCGCTAGCACTAGTGCAGTTTTCAATCTATGGGGTGTATTATCTTTGCGCCCACCTATATTACCTAATTTTGGGCTGCTGATTTCAAAAATGCCACTCGTTTTGCTCCAGGACGTATATGATTCTAAATAATTGCGTAATAAAATGCTTTGCCCAATTATCTCAAAATGTAAGTTTTGTGTTAATATTTTAATATTAAATTATTTTGCCTTAAATCTATTTTGGATGTTCAGTATATTTTTGACGTTTTTTGTCAAAAATATACAGGGACTCCATACAAAGTCATCGGTAGATAAATTTCAAATAGAAATTTTGTTTGTTCCATTGTAACCGTATACTATAGTAGTATTTTATAAGGCAGAGATGTGCTTTATTAAATACCAAAACTAAAATTATAATGTTTTTTTGGTAAAAAGTATAATTTTTTGAAATTTTTGTCGTTTTTTTAATTACTAATTAAATTGAAAAGGCAACAAAGTAAATGGGTTTCGGTATAAGCATTACTCTTCGACTATTATTTTATATTTTTTTATTCACATCATGCCTGAAGTACCCAAAAATTTAATATCGAATCGAATCGAATCTTATTTATTAAGTCTTATCAAAATTTAATATCGAATTGAAGTATAAAGGCGCCTTTTTCTACTTTATCGTTCAAGCACACTAAAGTGCATCTATTAATTATTCACATTTAAAATTTAAACTTTAAATTGTAATTTTACTTGAAAGTGATTTTAAGAACCAAAAATGAAAAAATAGCAGGAAATGGAAGTGGTAATGGAAGTGGCAGAGAAAGAGAAAGGAGACGAACATTTTGTTTTGTTTTTATTGCGGTACCTTTACGCCCAAGAAAAACCAACGCAATATTTCATTACAAAATTTTATGAGATATACCTACTACTTTAATTTTGCAGGAATATTAAATGGACCTGATATACGCCGTTTAATGAAAGATCGAGCATTCAAAAATGCTCTCAAAGTTGACGAGCTTTTCGCATATGGCAGTGTTAAAGCTGTCATTGAAAATGTTCTTGGTTCATATCGGGCCTAAAATTGGCGTCAATTCATTGAAAAAATGCTTTCCGTTTTGCAAAGAATTAGCGTTAATATGTCATTTAAAATACATTTTCTTTTTTTTTTCATCCTGATAAATTTGCCTAACTGATGAACATGGAGAACGATTTCACCAAGTAACTGCAAATGTAGAGCATTGGTAGATATCTATGGGTACAGCGGAAAGAAGTTGTATTCATTGCTAGGAGACATTTGCTGGAATTTGCAGCAAAAGATGTACGACGAGGATGAGGATTAAGCACAATATTACTATAATCCAATTTGATATTTGATGTGATTTAATAAATTTAAGGTAGAAAAAAGCAAAATAATGCAATGCATTAAATGTTGCCCTTTCAATTTAATAATTAAAATAAACGACAAAAAATGTCAAATAATGGTTGTTTTTTTACATAAAATACATTAAAATTTTAGTTTTAGTATTTAAAATGTCATATTGCTAAGATAAATATGATCTATTTGCTGTATACACCAATTACTTTAGTACATTCAAGATTAAAATACCAATTAAAATACCAACAAAAAACTTACATTTTGAGGTGATTGAGCAGAGCATTTTATTAAGAAATTATTTTAAATCCTAGACGTCCTCGAGAAAAAATAATGACATTTTTGAAATCAGCTGCCCAAAATTAGTTAAACTAAGCTGGAGTACTTAATATTAGGAAAAAAAGTTTGTAAATCTATCAAAGTGTTATACAGGGTGTTATGTAATTAATGTTATATATTAAAATACTGAATACCTTTTGACATAAGGAGTAAAGAAAAAATATTTAAAAAAATATTTTTCTAAAAATAAAGAGCCTTTAAAAATGGTAAAAAGAGAAAAAAAATAACAGTAGGATGAAACCCATTGGAAAAGGAGGGGAATATAATAAAAATTAAAGGAAAAATAAATTACGGGCGATCTGAGTTCGGGAAGTGGGAGGGGGGGGGGAGTTTAAGGGTAAAAAATGGTTTATCTCGATTTCCGGCAAAACTACAAGTCCTATGGAAAAAAGTTAAATGTCAAAGTTGTAGGTAATAAAAAGATCTACAACTTTTGTATTTACAATTTTTTCACATAACCTCAAAATTTATGTGAAAATTTCAAAAAACCAAGTTTTTGGTTTTTTATTTTTATCTTTTTCAAAAATAAATTTTTTTCCACGAAATTTGGTGAAAACTTACCTTTTTATGTCCCAAATACACTGTAATTTATTTGATTTGAAATATTTATTATTTCGCCTTATTTTGACTTAATATCAAAAAAGCACCCTAATTTTCAATCGAAAATTCTCGCGTCAAAATATCAGCTTTTTTCAAAAAGTCGGTGTGCTTTTTGTTCGATGAACTCTCTACTTTCTGATGGGGTAAAAAAATATATACATTACTATGGTAAATGTTCTCAGAAAATACAAAAAATATTATAATGAATAACGTAATCAGAATGAAGTATCTAAATGCAATAGTATGATTTACATGTATTTTTATATTTTATGAGATTTTCTGACATAAATGTTATTAGAATTTAATAAATAAACTTTTTAACTAAAAAAAATTGCAACAATCACATTTTTTTGATGAAATTGTACATAATGATTAAAATAAATTTTCGAATTCGAGTTTTTTTCGTTAAAAAAAGGGGAGGGCCCTCCCACTTCCCGAACTCAGATCGCCCGTAATTTATTTTTCCTTTAATTTTTATTATATTCCCCTCCTTTTCCAATGGGTTTCATCCTACTGTTATTTTTTTTGGTTTCAAAAATTATCGACCCTGGTCTAATATGCATTAGAAGTTTTTTATATTTTTTGTGATACGCCACTGGTTACACACTTGGTTTATCTCTGCACACTTGTGTTCTGTGAGTACATAGATACCAACCAACAAAGTAGCTGCGCGTTGCCAGATGTAAAAAATTGTTACCAAAAATTTTTCTTGCAAAATAGTTATAGTGTTGAAAAGCGACTTTTTCATGTGAGTTTTTAAGTTGCCCACGAGGCCGTTAGGCCGAGTGTGCATTAACACGAGCTTGAACAAAGCTTTTCTGACAAGTGCGACCCTTTTATTTTTTATTATTTTTAAATACAAAACAAAATAACCTAGAAACTTGTTTGACAGCTGAATGTCAAACGATGCTGTCGATTTCTTTTCACACAGACCTGTCACTTTTCACACAGAAATGTCACTTTACATTCGTGTTTTGTCTTGCCAATGAAAAGATTCATTTTCTAAGCAACGATGCCATCATGAAAAGTCACTTTTACATAGTGGTCGTAGAAAAAATAAATAAAAACTCAATAAATACTAAAGTGTTATGCCCTTAAAGCTCTAATACCCTTCTGTATTTATTTACTCATCCAGCTATTAGCTTAGGCAATGATTAGAAAATTTAGTACCTATTTTAAAAAAAATCCATAACCACAAAATTAATTTTTTCATCGGTTTTTTCTTTCTGTTTACTCAGAAAAAATTGGGACCAGTTCACAGGTTAAACTTTAAACATTTAATTTGTGTAAATAAATCCAAAAGCACTTCCCTTAGTTAGATATTTACAATTTAAGCACATAACCTAAAATTTGAAAGAAATGCACTAGATTCTGTCATAAAAGTTGGCAGATTTTGTTTGAAGTTACCTTCAGTACAAAAATGACATAACCAACAATTAATAAAAACGCCAAATTGACAATTTGCATTGTTAATTTTGTTATTTTTGTAATTAGGCTAAATTTAAGCAATGTTTGTCAACTTTTTTGACAGAATTTGGTGTTACCAACCATAACATAATAAATTAAATTAGGCAACCAGATTAGTCTAAAGTTCCTAGTCGATCAGTGGCGTACTTTTTGGTAGGATACAGGTTATTGCTTGTTTACAGTTGAAAACTTATGTAGAACAACACACAATCTTACCTACTATACAGTCTGGCTATCGTAAAAATCACAGCACAAATTCAGCGTTATTAAAGGTTGTTTCAGATTTAGGTAAATTTGTGGATAATGGTGACCTGGTTGTTTTAACCTTACTGGATCAAAGTAAAGCGTTTGATCTTGTAGACCATGAGCTTATGATATCCAAGCTTAAATATATCGGACTGGATTATGTTTCTTTAATGTGGTTTTCCCAGTATTTGGTTGGTAGAAAACAAAAAGTAAAAATTAATAATATTTTTTCCTCAGATTTGGAGGTTAAAAGCGGAGTTCCACAAGGAAGCGTATTAGGTCCGGTATTATTTTCGATTTTTACATTAGATATTGTAAATTGTTTTAAAAAATGTTCAATACATTTATATGCGGATGATTTACAAGTATATTTTAGCTGTAAGCAGGCAAATTTTAAGGAAGCTATAGAAAATATAAATGGAGAATTGAATACTTTTTCGACATGGTGCGGAGAAAATGGACTTAAAATCAATCCAAACAAGTCTGTGGCATTGTTGATTGGTAGGGAAAAAATGAGAAGAAATGTAGACATTGAACATTGTTTAAAAATAAATAATCAAAAAATAAATTGGGTAAATAATGCTAAAAATCTCGGGATAATAATTGATAGCGATCTTAATTTTGATGTTCATATTAATAATATATATAAATCTTCTTTTTTTAAACTTAAATCTTTAAATGAACTAAAGTATGTGCTTGACGAAAAAACAAAGTTAATGCTAGTTAAATCTCTTATTTATCCGAAAATTAACTATTGTAGTTCTGTTTATTACTTTAATTTAACTATGCATAACAGGCAAAAACTTCAACGCATTCAAAATGATTGTATTAGATTTATATGCTGTATTAATTTTAGAGACCATATTACACCATCTTTAAATCGATTAAATGAAATGAATGTATTTCAAATGACAACATTTTTATTTTCATCTTTTTTACATAAAATTGTAAAAACAAAACAACCTGTATATTTATTTGATTTATTAAAACTACGATGTTCAGTTCATACAGTAAACATTCGAACAAAAAATTATACCATACCTCAGCATACCACAAGCAAATTTAGAGGTTGTTTTGAATTTTGTGCTCCAACATTGTTAAACTTTATTTTTGAATATTTGCATTTATCAGAAAATCAATTTAGACAGAATTGTAAAATCAAAATTTTAAATGAAGCTATTAATTTGTAAATAAGGAATTGTTATTGTTTTTTGTTAACTTTTTTTTATTTTTATTTCTGTTGGTACTATAGCGTAGTCAATTATAATTATTATTATTTATTATGGGAGACTGGAAGACCGGCAAAGCCGAACTCTTTCCAATTGTGTATAAACTTTTGTACACAATAAATCTATATTATTATTATTATTATTATTATTATTATAAATTATTTTTAGTCTTTGGAATTTAGAAAAAAAAACTTTCAGGTGCTTCTTTATTGACCCTAAGGAACAACCCATTTTAATATATAACATTAATTACATAACACCCTGTATAAATGTAAACTTTTATTTAAAATGTTTAAAATATCAAAAGGCAAATCTAAAAACTACCTTAATTTGAACACTAGTTGTCCCAGGTAAGCAGCATTCTGCTGCAGATTCTTTTCATTGGTTTCGGTTTCTTCCTTGGTCGGCGATATGCCTCCATTTGAAGTTTCCATTTCGGTAGTGTAGACGTCCTTCATGGCGGGCTGGAGTTCCACTTTGTTCTCCTGATGCATCATAACCACGTTGTGGTTGTGGCTCGATACGCCGCTCTCCAGAGGCCCGACGACGCTTCCCGTGGGACTCGGAGTGTGCGGGTTGGACATCTGTAATGGGAGAGAAAATGTCTCGTGAAAAATATGAGACAGTTTTTTAAAATATATGGAAGTTTTTCCAGACATACATATAGTTTTTTAGTCGATCAATAATGTACGAAGGCGTAGAAGGGCCAACAAAAATTTTACAAGTTACATCCATAACTAACTTTAATTTTTATACTAAAATTGTAGCTTTCGAAGGGCCAACAAAAATTTCATAATTTTTATCAAAAACTAACTTTGATTTTTGCAATTTATATCCTACAATTGTAACTTGAACTTAAAATAATTGAGTCAAACCACGTCAAGTGGGACCAGAAAATTTCACGAAATCACCGATTTTGAAAATAATCACATTATTGTGTAGTAAGCATGACTCATATGTCACAGTAAAAAAATTGTTTTAAAATTCGTTTTTTTGGTAATGTTATTAAGGTTGACAATTTTGTCAAACTTTAGAGCACGGTAAAATTGAAAAAATAGAATCTCTGGAACCACTATGTATAATTGAATTAAATTTTACACACTATTGTAGAAATGTTTAGACTATATCGATGAGTTTTTGCCAAAGTATCGCAAGTAACATAATTCAAATTTCGGGAATTGAAAACATTTTTTATTTTAAAGTCTGTTTTAAACCATATATAACCTATATGTTTTATAACAGGTAAATAGATATAATTATAAGCTATTTACTTGTTATGAAACCTTTAGACTATATTTAATTTAAAACAGACTTTAATGCAAAAAATGTTTTCGATTCCCTAAATTTAAGTTATGTTGCTTGCGATACTTTGGCAGAAACTCATCGATATAATGATCATTTAATTAAGGTTAATTTGTTTAAATAAAATAATTTTGCATACATTTATTATAAACAATTGAAATTTTGTATGTGTTCTTCACGCTGAAAAAAAATTAATCTTGTGTCATAATATGCGGCAAATGTTGCCGTTTAATAAAATGTCCTAAAAATTTGTCCTTCATATGTCATTCCGGAGATATTAAATTTTTTGTCCCGCTGTGCGCTTGATCAGTACGCGGCGCGCTTCGCTGCTAGCTCGTCAGGACACGGTGTGCCTGAACGAAGTTTAAGTCGCATAAAAATTCCGCAGTTTCTTGTTCGGGACTCTTTGGTGACTAATAATATAATTATAATATTTACCAAAATCCTAGCTGCTCCCCTTTTCGAAACATTTTGAAAAATCTTTTTTATGCATTATGCGTTTTACTATATAAAAAAGTGATTTTTGTCTAACCCTGTATAAATCTAATGATGTGCTCAGTATAAAAACAGTTTCTCTCGTTTACAATATCGGTGTACATATGTGTACTCTGGCAAAGGTAGACTTTGCGATAAACAAATAATTAAAAAAAATATTTTTTTACAAATTTAAACAAAAAACAGTTAAATCACCAAAGAGTGCCGATCAAAAAACTTCAACCAATTTTTCGTTCAAAATTGAAAACTACTAAAAAGCCTAAATTAAACAACATTTTAAATACTCTCTAAGCGTTATTTTATTAAATTTTATTACAAATCTATTTTTCTTGTAAAATGTTAATAAAAATGCAATTTTGTAACCTGATAGACGTAGAAATATCTAAAAAAAGGGGATAAATATTTTTCGCGTGTTATGCTATAAGTAATCATGAATTTACGCTTTTGCATTATTAAAAATAAGTGATTTTTGGCTAACCCTGTATATATCAAATGATGTGAACAATATTAAAAAGTATTCTCTAAGTCTCCTAAATAATTTACTCTAATTTTATAAAAATCGGTGTGCAAATGTGTACTCTGTCAAAGAGATAAACAAAAATTTAAAAAAAAAATCATGAATTTTCGAACAATTTTGAAAAGAGTAGCAGCTAGAACTTTGGTAAATATCATTTTTAAGTCACCAAAGGGTCCCGAACAAGAAACTACAATCAGTTTTTGGCGGCATTTTTATGTGACTTAAACTTCGTTCAGGCACACCGTTAAAACGTTAGAACGGACGAGCTAGAAACGAAGCGCGCCGCGTACTGATCAAGCGCACAGCCCGCTGCAGCGGGACAAAAAAATTAATATCTCCGGAATGACATAGGAAAGACAAATTTTTGAGTACATCTTATTAAACGGAAACGTTTGCCGCATATTACGACACAAGATTAATTTTTTTTCAGCGTGAAGAACACATACAAAATTTCAATTGTTTATAATAAATGTATGCAAAATTATTTTATTTAAACAAATGAACCTTAATTAAATGATCATTATATAGTCTAATCATTTCTACAATAGTGCGTAAAATTTAATTCAATTATACATAGTGGTTCCAGAGATTCTATTTTTTCAATTTTACCGTGCTCTAAAGTTTGACAAAATTGTCAACCTTAATAACATTACCAAAAAAACGAATTTTAAAACAATTTTTTTACTGTGACATATGAGTAATGCCTACTACACAATAATGTGATTATTTTCAAAATCGGTGATTTCGTGAAATTTTCTGGTCCCACTTGACGTGGTTTGACTCAATTGTAAGTTGTAACCTACAACCTGCAATTGAATCGGTGAATTCAAGAATAGTAAAAGTCCAAAATTTAAAATTTTAACAAATTATTTTATAAAATTAATTATAGTTTAAAATGCATTTTGTGAGAATGTTTCAACTATTGTACAAAATATGGTTATTATATTTTATAAAATACACTCACAGGCAAAATAAATATATAATTAAAACTTAATTTAGAACAATATACGGTTTTGCCACTCTACAGAGTGTCTTAAACTTATGGTAAAAAACATATTTTGTTTAAACCTGTAAATTATAAACGTACGTCTATTTTTTTCTAAATTTTTAAAATGTAAGCGATTCTCCATTAATTTATCTACAATATTTTTTAATATTGGTTTAAATCCGAAATTAATTGAAATTCATCGAAAATTTGTGTGGATCGATTATTTTGCCTGTGAGTGTAGTTAAAATATTCTTCAAAAAATGCATTTTAAACTTAAAAAAAATGATTTTATAAAATAACTTGTAAACAACTTAGATTTTGTACTTGTACTGTTATTGATCTCACCGATTCAATTGTATCTTAAATTTATTGTAGGTTAAACTTACAATTGTAAGTTCAAGTTACAATTGAAGAATAAACCTACAATTATTGAATTTCTGAAACTTGTTACATTTTTGTTGGCCCTTCGGAAGCTATAACTGTATGATAGAAATTGGAAGAAGTTAGTTTTGGCTAAAACTTGTAAAAATTTTGTTAGCCCTTCTACGCCTTCGTAAAAATGATCTCAGTTAAATAAATTTTGGCCCGACATTTTTAGTAAATGGGACATTCCACGTTACTCGGTAATTTTTGTCCCGCCCGTCACAATCAAAAATTGTGAGTAAAAACCACAAGTTATAAAATTAATATTTTATAATATTATTTTTATTGTGCTTATAACTTATTAAAAGCATAATAAATCAATATTTTTAAATAAATTTTATAACGTGTAGTTTTTACTCACAATTTTTAATTGTGACGGGCGGGACAAAAATCCCCGAGTAACGTGGAATGACCCAGGGGTAAATCGCAAACAAATGGGCACACTGCAGAAGCGTTAATCAATGGTAGAAGTATAGATTAAAAAAGATCTATTTTTTGTATTTTTTTAAGTATCTATCTATTGACTAAATTACATATTATATATATATAAAAATACAAAAAAGCACCTGGTGCCAAAGTAAAATTATGTAAACTTCTCGTGACTGCCAGAGCTATAACTTAATATTATTAATTATTAATATTTATCGTAGAAAATATTATATATACCTATGTTTCTTCACTTCTTTACAAGGTTCTTGACTAGTAGCGTCCGCCCAAAAGGGTAGGCAAAAAAATTAAAAACAAATTAAAAACAAAATCTGTTTATTAAAATTATTAGTATTTTTGACATTAATTATTATTAATTAGGATGTCCATTTCAAAAGAATAAAAATAAATTAAATTTATAATCTAACCTCACTCTGGTATTGGACACTGTATACGCATTTGGGTGGACAATACAATAGTTATAGAGCTGGTGGCAATTTTGGTATATGATTTGCTCGTCGTTGGGAATGATAATATTTATCATATATTATGATATACAGTTCACAATGTGAACTGAGTAAATAAAACCTAACCTAAGTCATTTGTTAGTGTCTGGAATTTAGGTTTTATAGTAAATTGGTCATATTGATACTAAAATAACATTTGCCAGACGTCTAGGACGCTGGGTTTTTTTTAAATAATTTTAAATTAATGTAAAAAACAAATGCTCTATTAAGTGATTTGCTGGTCTTTATCTTATTTTTCAATTGTTCATTTGTGTCCCCTAAAAAAATAATGCCAGACATGTATGTCTCTGCGTTTGGCAACAAATAATTTTTAAAATTGTAAAAAATAATACCTAGCCTAAGTCATTTTCCTCGTGTCTGCCTTTTAGGTTTTATGTTAAAATGGCTATATAGATACTAAAAAAACATTTGCCAGACGTCAAAGACGCTGCGTTTCTCTTTAATAATTGAAGAGTACAAAAAAACGTGCCAAGTCAAATATTCAGAAGAGTAATTTTAAACTTGAATACTGTGTAATCTCTGGGTCCTTATAATAAACTAACTGCTCTATTAAAACACCATTATGGTAAACAGTTATGTTAAGTGTAAAAAAATATTACCATTATCTTTGCTTTTTTAGCTACCATACCAAAAAATATCCAAATTGACTTTGCACGTTTTTTCTCTGTCTTCAGTTTTTAATTATTATTTTGTGTTATGTTAATAAGGGGATATCCATTAATTACGTGAGACAAAAATGGTGGGGGAGGGGTCCAGCAAAATCTCGCTATGTTTGGGTGCAAACTTGATATAAAATGTCTAATAATTATTATTACTTAAATACTCTATAAAGTTTGCATAATTTTTTTTAAGTTTGCATATTTTCTTTTAAGTAAGTACTAATAATTTTTACTAATTTAACAATAA